TCGACGGAACTGGTCTACCTCTCCAGCTGGCCCGATCTCAAAGCATGGAACGTCGACGGCTCGATATCGCAAGTTCCGCGCCTCCCCGGGCGAGGGGCGCGCGGGGGGGGGCCCGAGAATTCGGCGCCACCCCCCTGAGCAGCAAGGACTAGCACCGTTACCAAGGTGGGTCAGAGCACGCTAGCACTCATGGCATGTTCTCGGGGCCCATGGACGACCCACCTGGGCAACCGGGGCGCGCTCATGAGCATGACGACGCACCGTGTCCGCGGCCTGATGGTCGCTTCGATCGCAGTGACCAGCAGCGCAATGGCCTCCCTTGCGCCGTCGATCTCCGTTCCACAACGTGCAACGGGCGAGCGCCTCCTGGGCCCCGTCTTCCTGATGCGTGCAGTTCTTGGTCATCCCGCCGCGGTTCTCGCAAAAGAAAACCGAAACGCGGTCTTCGACCCCGGCCCCCAGAACGCTCCGAAACATGCTCCCAGAGATGGCCTTGGATCGACTCAACCAGTACCAACGCACCGCGCATCTCGGTGGCGTCTCCAGCCAAGCCAGGATTGAATCCCAGCCCGTCTAAGGCCCAAGTGGTCTAGGCTGTTTTGTCTTCTACCTGCCCCTCTCGGAGAAGGATATACCATTGTTTCTCGTTAGTGTGCGCCCCCGCCCCCAGGCGACCGGCGTCCAACCAGGAACCATGAAGGCGCCATAACGACCCGCCCCCCGCTATTCTTGACAAAAACAATACAAACCGCACTCTGCCTCCACGTGTGCAGCACGCGCGGCCAACCCGACGCGGCCCCCCCCGCCAACCCTGCCCCCCTGTCAAAATACAATGCAAAGTGCACTTCGGGCCAATGCTTTGAGTCACGTTCGCGAGGCCCGCGAGCATTTTGCATTGCGCTCGGCAGGGGCGGCGGGGGCGTTAGCATATTCCCAGACGCGCGCAGGGTTACCATCCCTGACAGAAAACAGAACAACATGCAACTCGCGGCTAAATCTGGACTATGCGCGGCCATCCCGCGATCACTGTCACATGGTTTGTGACAGGGGCCGCGGGGGTGGCGGCGCGTGGCCTGCTGTGCGCAGCCCCACCAGACAATGATGGGCATTGGTTTTCGGCAGGGATGGCGGGGGCGACATGCTTCCCGATGCGTGCTGTCACGTGCGCAGGCGCACTTGACGCGCTCTGCGCGGGCCCCGAACACGGCGCACCTGGCGCGGCTGGAGAGCGCGGCGCACCTGGCGCACTCGGAGCACGCGGCGCATCTGGCGCACCAGCGTGCCGGGCACGCTCGGGCCCCAGGGGTGCCTGGCGCGCGCGGCGCCCCTGGCGTCGCGCGTCTGGGGCCGGCTTGAATGCCCAGTAGCTGCCCGTCCAAAGGCGACCGCTGAACGTGCTTGACCCCCCCCCCCGCCCCCCCCCCCTGGATTTGCGCGCCCCCCCCCCCCCCCGATGAGATGGGGCGTCCAAGATGGCCCGAGATGGCGCCGAGAGCGCCTCGGAGAGCCCGAGATGAGCTCGAAGATGGCTCAGAATACCCCGAGATGCCTCTAGGCGGCTCCCAAGATGCTCCAAGAGGCCCCAAGACCGCTCCAACCAAGACGGCCCCACGCGGCCAAAGAGCTCCCCGAGGAGGCCAACATTCTTCCAACGCGTGAAGAAAATCAATGGTCTTTACACGTTTCGCCTTTTGCCTTCCGATGGCCACCCGAAGCTTCAAGACGGCTGGCCCAGGAGGGCCCCCGGAGGGGCCGAGAGTTCCCGAGGCTGGCCCCAAGAGCGCCCAGGAGGGGCCGGAGACCGTTCCAAGAGGGGCCCCGGAAGCGATTCGTGGGGGCCCGAAGGCGGGCCCGAATTGAGGCCCCCCTCTGTTTTATCGATGCCCTCCACGATGGCCCCAAGAGCGTCTTCGAAGCTCCCACGCGAGGGCCACGAGAGGCGCCTAGTCAGCCCCAGCAGGCGCCCAAGTGGCCTTCAAAAGGCCCCCAAGTGTCAATATAACCTCCGTTATACCGAGTTACGTGTACGTTGTCTTGTGCATTAGCACAGTTCAGCAGTTTCAACATAGCAGGCGTGTGGCAAGCAGTTGTTTCACATGTGTCTGAACCATTGCCATGCGACGCTCAGGGGCCCCGCAATCAGTTAAAAGGTTGCGCATCTTTCGGGCGGGCACGATTATCAGCAACGCGTGCAAGTTACGAGCTGCATATCTTACAAAGTTGCGCATCTGACTCGCAAATCTCAATTTACAAGTTTATACGAACACATCCCGAGTAGACTTCGCGTGCTACCATCGGTTGATATTGGTAGCGGAGCCGGAGACTCTCTTCGGCCCCTCCGTCGCCGCCATGCCAGACGGCGCGCCTCGCGCGCCGCCCCCGGCCAAGCCGCCGCCCCGCCGCCCGGCGGCCCGCCGGCAGCCTCCGCCGCCGCGCCCGCCGACGCCGGCGCGGAGGGCAGTCGCATGCCGCCGCGCAGCGTGGACGCCGACGAGGCCAACTACACGGACTGGAACGGCTGGCAAGGCAGTTGGAACCGACAGGGGCGTTCCACCTCGGACGGAGGAGGACGAGGACTCGACGCAGGCCTGTCCAAGACGGCGCCGAGTTACGAGCTGCTGAGGACCGACGGCCGTCGTGCATTCCGACGCAAACTGGAGGTCTTAAAGCGTTGCTGCAGGAAGCGCAGCACCACCACAGTCAGTGAGGGGGCGCCATTGGTCATGAACTCGCTGAAGGGAGAGGCCGTGGAGACTACGGAGAACATCGACCTGGACTTGCTAAGAGACTGAAGAAGCTTTCAGGCCAGTGTTCCAGGTGCTGGACGAATCTTACAAGCAAGACAACCAGACTGAGCTGCCAGCCCGCGCAGATCTCTTTTTCGGCAAGTTCGCTCGCCAGGAGAAGGAGACAATGAAGCTGTGCTGCCTACGCCAGAAGAGAGAGAGAGAGAGAGAGAGAGATCGGCCATGCCCCCGTCGGGCACCGCCCAGGTTCGAAGTAGACGGCGTCAGTTGGACTGAGGCGAACAAAGCCCTTCTCGACACGCATGGGGCCGATGCCATGCCCGACAAGTGAGATGTTAAACGAGTGGAGCAGATGCTGGTCGTCAGAGCTGGAAGGACGATGTGAACTACGCGAACGATTACCTGAGCTACGAAGACTCTTTCCTGGAGGAGAAAGAGAACGAGGGCGACGAACAGTGCGACTACATGGAGAACTAGGAGGAGGCCGACGTCGCGGAAGAGCTACCGCTGGATATCGACGAGGCCCACGTGGCGTGCGACGAGGCCTACCTCAGTTTCGTGGACGCGAAGAAGCGCGTGGCAGGGATCGCCAAGTCAAGAGGAAACTACCCGATCGTCGCCCTCGCCCCATAGAACAACTATCAGCGCGACGGCCGCGCAGGCCCCACGAAAGCGACGAGGCCCGGCACGGGCAAAGGCAAAGGACGTGGCAAAGGCAAGGGGCGCGGCAAAAATATCAGACCACCACGACGAGAAGCGTTCAGGTTCCAGAAGGGAGCGTTTGGCATGGGTGCACCATCATCAGCAGGTTCGACAAGATCGGGCGCAACCCAACAACGCGGCCCGAGTTTCAAACGCTTTAGGCACGGAGGCTTCACCAAGCCCGACGACGAGGCACGCGTGGTGGAGGATGTTGAGACGCTGGAATATGCTAACTCGACCGAGGAAGTCTTCCTGCTGACCATCGGTAAGGGCATCAGCGATGGAGGTGCTGCGCGACCCGTCATGGGCGACAAAAGTGCGGGCGCAGAAGGAGGAGCTACTACGTGCAAGACAGTTGTTGCATTAGGTCGAGTATGGCAGGAGCGACCGACGCTTCTGATTCGGAGAGGCGCTGGAGGCCAAGCAAGCGGAAACTTTGACGGCGTGGCAGTTTGGCGTCAAGAAGCAGATCGCGATCCATCTCGTCGACGGCTGAGCGCCGCCGCTGATCGCGCGACCCCGCATGGAAGAGTGGGTTTTGGTCTGTGACTACCGAACTGGAACGTTCATGGTGTAGGGTCTCCCCGACAAGGGCTGAATGAAGTCCGAGCGTGACGAGTAATCGACCTGTTGGGCGGAGCTGGGCGCGACGCCGAATATGCCATGAGCGAGAGGGCCCTCGCCGACGGCGATGGCACCAGCAGCGACCCGACGGACAAGGACGCCGAGAGAGAGAGTCGGCCAGAGGCGATGATGGTGACGACGGAGATGTGCCGACACCTGGCTCCGACGTCTTTTACCTTGAGACGCGGACGGAGCACTGCGAGATCGGCAGCGGCGGCGAGACCCTGGCCGCGGAGGAGGTCATAGACCCAGAGCGGCACCCGATGGAAGCGGACACCTACTCGGACCTGGTCCTGGCGCTGGAGCAGGCATCGTCCGACATGAAGGACGCTGGTCTGGGAGGTCTTCGTGGACCAGGGGGCTGTGTCGCAGGAGTTGCTCGAGTTCCCGCAGATCGAGGTGATCCAATCCAAGATCGAGGACGGTTGGAACTTCTCCGCGCCTGCCGTGATTCGCGACATCCTAAACAAGGTCGACAAGGACAAGCCCAACGAGAGCTTCTTCGCTCCCCCGCGCAAGCACCGGCGCCCTTGGCTGCGCGCGAAAGAGAAGATCTCTGAGGAGCGAGCCAAGGAGATCCATGATGCCCAGGAGCGAGAAGAGCGGCCGTCTCAAGATGATTCTGACGGCGTTTGTGAAGCAGCAGATCGGAGACTGGCACGCGCATGTAGAAGTCCCGTGGCCGGGGCTGCACAGGCGGACGAAGACGTGGAAGAAGTTGCCAAGATCTCACTGCAGGCTCGACCAGTGCAGGCTAGGAGCGAAGTGCACGACCCAAAGAAACAATATGCCACGCCAGAAGCCCAATAGACTGCAGTCGACAAACAATGAATTCATTCACCACATGATCCTTGCATGCGCGAGCGCGGACGACCACGTGATCCTGAAGGGAAACTTGCCCAACAGGCTCAGAACTACCCAGGACCGATGGCGAGGATCATGGCCTACCTGATCGCCTACCAGGGCATGGCCGACGACGTCGGCGACGTCAACGCGGCCGAGGAAGTCTACAAGGACATCGACGCCATCGAGTACACCGACATGATGCAGGAGCTGACGAAGCGATGCAACGTGTCGACGATCCGAGCAGTCAAGCGCGCGTATGTCAGCCTGGGCCGCCCTTCGAACGCAGCGCTGGCGGTCGCCGCGCAGCATGCGGGTGTCCGAGCAGACTGGGCCCAGTGCGCCGGGCTCTCCCACTGCAAGGTCTGCCTAGGCAGGCAGAGGCCTCGAGCGGCGCGCGTCGCAGTGCTGCCGAGAGCCAAGAGGTTCAACGAGGTGGTTTGCACCGACGTCTACCACGTCGCGTGGAAGAAGAAGGAGAGGGAGATCCTGGCCAGCATGGGCGAATTTACGCGCTACGAGGTCGACTGCCCGACCTCGAAGGACACGTTTCTGAAGGAGTCGAAGCTATGGGAGAAGCTGTGGATCAGCCGGGCTGGCGAGCCCGAGACAATTCGGATGGGCGCGGGGGGCTCGCGCGCGGCCGGACACACGCACGGCAGGATAAGCAAGCATGGCATCAAGCCCGACCTGATCCCGAAGGGTGCGCGCCACAGGCTCGGCCCCATGGGGCGGAACCACGCGGTCAGAAGGGGGCATCTCAGCAAGTGCCATCTGCAGTTCCCCGACGATTCGCTCGAGACCGCCCTCAGGATGACCGCCAGCCAGCGGAACGCCCACAGGAACGCGCGCGGGTTCTCGCCCGCGGCGCTGGTCTTGGGAACGCAGCCCAAGATCCCCGGATCCCTCTGCAACGATGACTTCGGCCTGCCGGACCAGGCCGCGTCGGTCGACCCCGAGAGCAAGGTGCACGAGATGATGATCAGGAGAACGGCTGCCGCGACGGCCTTCATCGAGGCCAACTGCTCGCGCGCCGCGCGAGCGGTGCTGCTGGCGCGCAGCAGGCCAACGTGGGGGAACTACGAGATCGGCGAGTGGGTCTACCTCTGGCGACCCGATCAGACGCAGGGGCTGGAGAAGCGCCACTGGCACGGCCCAGCTCTGGCGATTGCAGTGGAAACGAAAGTCAACGAGGACAACGCGATGCGCACCTCGGTGGCGCGGGTGACTCACGGGCGCGCGATCTACCGTTGCACCGTGGAGCAGCTTCGCCCCGAGCTGCCAGGCGGGGCCCGCAAACGAGAAGGACGCAGCGTGGACCCCGGCAGCCCGCTTTGCGCGATCGAGAAACTCAGGCGCGCGCCCAAGCGGACGAAAGGGGCCAGCAACTGCCGGGACCTCGCCGAGGAGGGGCGCCTGCCCCAGCACGACGACCACATGGGCGACATTGGCGAGCAGCAGCAGCCGCGCGCCCAGTCGCCCGTGGAGACGGACGAGACCGACGACCCGACAGGCGGTGCTGCCGCGGCGGCTCCTGGAGATCCTCGGCCGACGACGGCCGGTGAGGACGAGGGCGGCGAAGCAGCTGCGGCCAGCGCCGGCGCGTCTGGCAGCGCTGCGCAAGAGCCCAGCAGGCCCCACATCGCGGCGATGGCTAAGAGGAGCGTCGAGGAGGCTGAGAAGGTGGGCGGCGCCCCGCTGGCCAAGCGCGCCCACCTGTCGTGGGCGAAGCTCGCCCCAGTGAGCGAGGAGGCTGCGCTCGCCGACGAGGTGGACGACGAGATGCTGTTGTTGGAGGAGTTCACCGAGCAGGTCTACATGCTGGCCTTGAAAAGGAAAAACCCCGCCATCGTGGAGGGCGGGCTCAATCGCACTGCCGGCTGGGAGCCCATCAGCGAGGCGGATGTGGATCCCAGAGCCTGCTGCCCCATGCGCTTCCTGCTCGAGTGGAAGATGGAGGATGGGCAAAAGGTGGCCCACGCGCGCGTACTCTACCAAGGGATCAAGCACCGCGACGTCGCCGGGGGCCAGCTCGACAGGTCGGCGCCGACCCTCAGCAGGTTTGGCCGACACACGTTCATGCTCTGGGCGTCTCTAAAGAAGTGGAGGTTGTTCAGCGCGGACGTCAAGTCCGCACTCCTGCAGGCTGAGGACGCGAGCGCGCGAGGCCTCAAGCTGCACGCGAGCCCGACGAAGGAGATGAGAGAGATGCTCTCTCACCAAATCGGCCTGCAACCTGGACAGCTGCTCGAGATGCTCGAGTGACCCGCGGTCGCAAGAGCTCTGCCACCATCGTTCCGACGAGGTCGCGAAAGAAATCGGGCTCAAGAACCGCAGGCTCGAACATTGCTTGTTGCTGCCCTGCGCCCGGCGAGGGTCGCCGACGACCCGTTCGACGCGCGCAACTTCGAGAGCCAGACCCACGTGGTGGATGGCCTAATCGGCAAGCGCGTGGGCGACTTCATCGGGCGCGGCGAAGGCGCGACGAACGAACAGGACCTCTACGCGAAACTTGACGATACCGGGTGCTTCCAGGCGCGGCTAGGGATGCTCAGCGAGAAGCTTAAGTTCGGCATGTGGGAGTTCGGACCGAATCTCCGAGTCTGGTCTTCACTGGGGGCGAAGTGGAGCTGTCTCTGAGCACCTACGGCGCGACCCTCAAGTTCGAAATGTACCCGCGCGCGGTGAAACCCACCACCGTCGAGAAGCATCGGAGAGTTGGCCCCGCGAGCGCGCTGTCGCCGAAGGAACTGACGGATTTCAGGGCGCTGAATGGACAACTGCAGCGGCCGGCAGCCCGAGGAGTGATCATAGCAGCGGCTACTGCGTCCTTTCGAGCTTCGGCGACAGGTCGAGCCACCGCGCAGGATCTCTTGGATGCGAACAAAGACTTGCGCTTTCTGATGGCCAACGCGCGCGTTGGGCTGCACTTCGGGCTTAACGAGGCCAGGAGTCAACTGCGACGCGGCAGCTGCACCGACGCGAACTGGGCGAGCCGACATGATGGAGGTTCGCAAGGAGGCCACGCAATCATCTTTGGCCCCGCGGACGAGCTCGACGCCGGCACCCCCGCACCTTTCGTGGCCATGGAGTGGGCCTCGACGAAGTTGCAGCGCCTGTGTGGGAGCTCGCTGTCAGCAGAGGCCCAGGCAGCAGCCTGGGGCACGGACTCGCTGATGCGGGTGAAGGTCTACCTGGCGAGGAGCCTGCGACCAGACCTGGAGCTCGAAGAGGCGATGGTGCATCTGGGAACGTCGCCGTTCATCACTGACGCGAAGTGTCTCCACGACGCGTCGCGCTCGGCGACGGCAGGCCCGGGCATCGCAGAGAAAAGGGCGGCCATCGAGGTGGCGATCGTGGACGAGCAGATGGCAGAGATCGGCGCTACCTGGAAGTGGGTGAATCATGCAGAAGCAGATGGCGCACGGACTTGCCACGTTCTCGGCCCACCAGATGATGGGCGACGCGCTGCGACGTGGAGCGCGGGCGCCACGATGTGATCCTGGCTTCGTGGCCGGCAAGAAGTTGACCAAGAGAGCCATGAAGCAACGCGAGAATGAGCTAGACGATGCGACGATGGCGATGGCAAAGGCGAAAGCCAAGACCAAGCGCCATTCTGGCGCGAGCGGAGCGAAGCTGGCTGCAGCAGGGGCAGCTGGCGCAGGTAGCAGCGCGGCAGGTCAGGTGATACAGCGCACGCCCAGCGGCGTTGAGCTGCCCAGTCCACCGACGACAGCCAATTGGAACGACAGGAATCTGAAGATGATGGTTTGCGGTTCCGCGCTGGGACTTGCGGTGACATTCTACTGCGGCTTCCGTGCTGGAGCATGGTGGGCGCGCCGGACCCCCCGTCAGATCGAGCACGGGCGGCGGCGGGGGGGGGGCTGCGGGCTATCGAACGACATCTTGTCGCCAATATGAATGCTGTTCAGCTAAACTCTTTTCTTCGCTCACACTGTCCCTGGGCGCCCCGCGCGAGCGCGATCTCGAAGCCTTCGCTTCGCCCTATCGCCCGCCCGCGTCAGCAGCGGCCCTGGCGCGCCTCGCTCACGCTGCGCCGTTTGTCCCCGAGCCCTTCGCGGCGCGGCCGCGCTTGATTTCTGCGCCGGGACACCCAAGGGATCTAGCGCCGCGATCGTGAACGCAACGGAAATCCTCGGCCTTGCCTCCAGACGCTCTTGAGCAAGCTCAGTTGCAGCCACTGGTCGCCTGTGCCTCTGGTGGCCCCTTCGACCCTTGCCGGAATATCCAATGCAAGCTGCCGAGTACGAACCACTGTAACATCTCGATGGGGTTCAACCAGGACATGGTACAACAGAGGTTGGGGGCAACGGTTTGATTTGCCACGACCTGGAAGCGCCGCATCATTAGAAAACAAGGATGGGGCCACTGGAGATCTCATTCGCCTTAAACTAGGCGAAGTCTTTGGTGGCTGACGACGCGCGCGTGCAGCTCAACCGCAGGAACAACATGATCAAATCTACTACCTACCCAGGTCCACCAGGTCATAGAATCTCTCCACGTCCTGAAAAAATGATGCTTGGCTTGTTTCTTCCAGGATTGCTCGGCGCTCGTCCAGAGCCAGCAAGACGAGGGCAGACTGAAAGGGCCGAACACTCGTCGTGGCAGCAGCATCCAAAAATCCCGCTCGTCGACCACACCGATCAGTCAAAGTACTTTTGGTCGCCTTCCCCCAGGCCCTCGGCATGCGCAACGCGCCAATGGGTCTGTCCTCTCCTGCAACCTGCTTGTCTGCTCTCGGGGGTCGGGCGCGAAGCGTCCGCGTCGACTGGCGGGGCCGCGCTCGTTCTCTCTCGTGCGCGACGCGGGCAGGGGGCCGTCTGCGCTGCGAGCTGCGCCCGCGCGGCCGATCTGGCGCCCGCTGGTCGGCGCCCAAGCCAGCGCCCGAAGGGGGGGATCCACGCGCCCCCTCAAGCTGGACAATCGCGCGATATGGCCCCTCATCTAGCTCCTCCCTGGCTGCGCCTGCGGTCACAGCGCGCGTTCCACCGCGCGGATCGCGCCTTGCGCTTCAAATCGATGCCTTTCGAAAGGCCCACGTCCCATGTTCGCGTCTCTGGGCCAGAGCAACCTGTGCCGGTCTCGATCTGCCGCTCCAAGCCCGGCGCTTGCGCGCGCGCTTCAAAGGGCCAGCCGCAGTCTGCGTCGTCCGCGATCTCACACGTGAGCGGGCGGCCTTCCGCGCCGGCGCGCGCGACGTTCTGCGCGCCGGCACCCCCTCGCCGCTGCCCCGCAGGACATTGCGCTCGAAAACAGCGCCGGCTTTCGCGGACTGGCGCGTGGATCCGCGGCCGGCGCGCAAACTGGTCGGCGCGCCTCTTCCCCGTCGAGCTTAGCCTCCAGATAGGCAGGCGCGTCGCGGTCGCTATCGTCCATGCCGCGCCGTCCTCAGGGCCGAACTCGACGTCGCCGTTGAACTGCTCTTCCTCGCGGCCGCCGTTGCCCGTGCGGCGCGGCCTCGCAGCCCGCCCGCCAGCGATTCCCCAACCGCGGATGCCGCTCCGCGGCCCCTTGCCCTGCTGCGCCCGCCGCTGGGGGCGAAGCCTGCAGCGCGGCAGCGGGGTGCGCCGGGACATCTTCGGGCAAGTGGGGGCGTTGCTTGAGGCGCGGCGCAGGCCCCACTGGGCCGCGTGAACAGACAATGGCGATCGCCTTCCTGTTGCCTCAGGACCTGGTTCCAAATCGTGCGATGCGCTATCTGGTCAGAGCGCCTCTCCCCGTCGAACTCGGCTTCCAAATCCGCAGTTGGGCCATGGTCACCATCGCCCATGTTTCCCCACCCTCTCAGACCCGAGCTCGCGATCCCCGGCCGCGGTTGCCGCGCTGCGCCCCCCAGCCCGTGCGTCGCCGCCGCGGGGGTCGCGGCCTGCGGAGGGGCGCGTCAGGCACGTGGTCGCAAGTATCTCAAGGTGAGAAACCACGCTGCCCGAGGCGCAAGCCTCGCTGGGCCCCGTAGATGAGGACAGAGATGGTCGCCCCGCTGCTGCCTCAGAACCACATTCCACATTCTGCGATGCGCGGGGCGCTTCCGTTCCACGGTGGGACTGAAAGTCTGGCGTTCGTTTGATCAACCGTGTGGTGCCACTATCAGTTTGGCTGACCCGTTGCAGGATCGCGCAAGCGCTGGCTCGCTGTCTGGCCCTGGCCCCATCGCGCGAGCCCCGTGGCCATGCCCATCCCCCGCGGTGCAGCTGCGTCAGCCTGTCGGCATAGCTGCGCATGCGCTCGTCCGTCTTAGCGGCGCAGCTGCCACGGCCGTCGTCAGCGCGGACCAGCTGATCCTCGCGAGACATTAAGCTAGGCGACCTTCGCGCAGCGCGCCTGCAGCGCTGCGACTTCCCGACGGCGAACAGACATCGCCATCAATGCATTGGCTTCTCCGCGTGCAGCTGCGTTGATGAAGAGGCCAATACTCCCCTGACCAAGTACGTTCTTCTTGACGTACGTGTTGAAGTGGCCTCGCCATGCGTTGCTGACCTGCCTCGCGCCCGCCACGATGCGCCGTGGTCTTTCTGGCGCCGTCGCCCGCCCGCCGAAGCGTTCGCCCGACATGCCGGCCCCGCCCCGGCCCCTCCTGAAGGCCGAACCCGCGTCGAGGGACCTGAACGGGTCGCCGGGGGCTGAACGCGGGCTCAAGCGCCGCTTCCTGCCTCCGGCAGTCCGCGACGGGGGCGCGCGTCTGCTTCTCGTGATGCTCGCCCAGCAACTAACGGTGATAATCGTGGTGCAGATCTCCGGGCAGAGCATGCTGCTGCTGCTCTGCGTGGGAAATCTCTCGCGCCCCCTCAGGCAACGCCTGACCCTTTTGGCCACCGTCATCGTGGTAGCAGGGGCCCATGGCATCACTGGGAGGATGGGCGACATTGCAAGAGGCGCGGTTCGAGCAGGAAAGAACGACACGATCGGCGGCGCGACACTCTCGGGGCACACGCCGCAATCCGACATCCTATTTTTGCCCGAAGTGCAGGCCCACTCGCGCGTAGAATGGCATGGGCAAGACCTTATTTCAACGCCCATAACCACTTCGTGCGAAACATCTGCTCAGGCGCATTGGTCCAGTCTCCGAAGACAACTCAGGGCACCGCCATGGATCTCACAATGCGCAACATCGGCACCATGCTCTGTCACCCGCGGACACCTTGCCCGTGCGCAGGATATCACGATCAACCCAATGGTGGTTCCCTGGAGCCTCCACAGTATGACTTATCATGACGGAGGTGCCCCTTCTGCTGCTTCTGGGACGCACTCTTGCCCGACCCATCAGACAGCCGAGCTGAAGTTGTCAAATTACTCTAGGCAGCGCAGTTAGCGCAATACTCCACCTGCTCGCCGTAATGGGTCACGCTTGCATAGAAGATTTGAACCATGCACCCCGCAAACGAGACACCCCGGGCACTCGCGGCCAGGCTGGAACTGCTAAGGCTGCGACTGATCAGGAGTCCCGCTGCCCTGGCCTCCTGCGCCTCCTGTTGGCGCGCGCGCCTTGACCTCGGCCATAGGCTGGTTGTGGCTGCGATATAATGGTCGACTGCCGCCGGGTCCGTGAAGTCCACCACCGCACTCCTCCGCAACTTCTTTACTGATCTCGGTCGCTGCTGAGTGGTGTTCCACGCCTTTTGCGCCTCTTTGCTGTGCTCGCTGAATGGAACTTGCGAATCCGCTCTGCTCCCTCACGTGCACCCTTGTCTGCGCCCGTAGCCTGTAGCACGTCTCTCGCTTGTTTTGCTGCTGCCTCTGCCGCCCCTTACCCCCTCCTTCTTGCAATTTTCGCCCATGCAGTCGAAGATTATAGAAATGAGGCGCGGTAGGGACGCAAAGGGCCCTGACCGCCGAAGTTGGCATTTTTTGGGCGGCGGACTGCCTACGCCACGAAGGGCTGGCCAATCGAAGCCGCGTAAGGCGGGCCGCAGACGGAAGAACGCAAGGGTACCCTTAGGATCTCCGTGCGTCCTTACACTGACTTTCGATTCCGCTCGCAATCTCAGCCTTCGACAAATCTGGCACTTATCCTCCTGAGTTGCTGCCTCTGCCGCTGCTGCTCCCATCGGTGCCCCCGCTGGCGTTTTGATGCCATCCACGTTTGCCTGTAAATCAACATTCAGTATGATGGTGGCAACCAACTCCTCTTGCAACTCTTTCTGCAACGCTGTTGCTGCCATCACCTGTTTTTGATCCATAAGTTTTGACGGTGCTTCCCAGAACGTGAGCAAATCAGGGCAGACGACTTCCAGTGCCTTCTGTGTTTTTCGCTGTCATGCTTGGATGTGGAATAATTCGGGAGTGCGGCTGAGCACACCTTTTTCTGGGCAGGGAGATTTCCGTGGTGAGGCCGAGCATCCCAACAACACTGGACACCTGGTGGAACAACAAAAAACCCACACAACCCCGCATTGTCGACGTACTTCCCATCCTGCTTTGCCCACTTTGTGATCAAATACCTAGGATTTCGCACAAATAGGACACACCGTATATGTCCACT